GAGTAATATACAAAATTAGGACAATTTTGGTAAATAAGTTTCAAATATTGTATAGGAAGGAAAAAATTCCATTTGAAAAAGGATATTTATTTCCAACACAAATACACAATCCAATATCTTTGATTTACAAAAAAAAAAGTGATGGACCCATATAATACTATACTAGTTGCAGTAAGCCCGGGCCCAAATTCAAGGTCGAAAAGTGATACATATGATTAAAAAGAACAATTTGCATTATATTTTAAGTTTTCACCAAATATCTTCTTTCTCCCGATAAAAAATAATTGAGTGTACTTAAATTATAACCAAGATAAATTTCAAATCCATCAACATGTTTTCAGTCTTGTATTCCTTGTGAATCCCGAATTGATATACCATGTGTCATATTTAAGAGATTTGCTTAGAACTCGTATCAACACAACAAAGAAAGCAAATTTAATTCCTCTATGTTGGAACTCGCATGGCTTTAGTTTGCTGATTGCTACCTTTAAAATGTAAGGTTCTATTTTTATTTAGAGGTAAGATTAACGTGGACATCTAGCGGACATAATCAATATAAATCTTGGGGTTCATATTTGTAATGACCCGATATGTCATCTAGAGTTTTAAACCCTAATTATGTATTTCAAAACCTCAAATACCTCATTTTAGCCTTCCTCGATTTGCATGCGCAATCCGTGTCTTCTTCCGGAAGGCTTCTATGTTAAAAATTGATAAATTATGAAATTTTGCCTTAAAAATCAATTTGAGTTGACTTCGGTCAACGTTTTAAGCAAACAAATCTGGATCCGTACTTTGATGGTCCTGGTGGGTCCGTATCGTGATTTGGAACCTGGGCGTATGCCCGAAATCGAATCGGAGGTCACTAGCTTGAGTTATCGTTTTTTGTCAAAATTTGAAGTTTAAGGGTTTAATGAATTTAAAGGTTTGACCAATGCTTGAATTTGTTGATATCGGGTCCGTTTTTTAGCTCCGAAACTCGATATAGGTCCATTACTATATTTATGACTTGTCTGCCAAATTTGATTAGAAACGGAGTTAGTTTGACGTGATTCGGACGTCCGGCTGTTAAAATAGAAGTTCTAAAGTTTTCTTGAAATTTTCATTTGATTTGGTATTCGATTCGTAGTTCTAGGCATTATTTTGGTGCTTTGATTGTGCGAGCGAGTTCTTATGAGGTTTTTGGACTTGTGTGCATATTTGGTTTGGAGCCCCGAGGGCTCAAGTGAGTTTCGGATAGGTTACGGATGGTTTAAACTTAGAAAATTTCTGGTTTCTTGAGCTTCTGCTATATCTGGTGTCACGTGCTTTGTGATTGCGACGCCATTCTCGCGATCGAGAAGGGGAGTTTTGGGCAGGGGAGATTTTCTTCATCGCGAATGCGATAGTTCGGTCACAAGCCCGGAGTGTTGGGGGTTTTACCCTCCGCGAACACGACCAGCTTCTCGCGAACGCATAGGCTTGTGGAAGGCCCCAGTAGAGCACTGAGTTGACTGCGGAGTGAGGTAAGTGTTGATTTTAACCTTGATTATAGGAATTAGGAACCCTCGGACTATGTGCTATGTGAATTTCATGTATTGCGGCGTATATGCGAGATGACGAGTGCTTATACGCCGCCGAATTACTTGTTTCCCTAATTTTCCGATTTTCCATGATTATCTCCTTCTCTGCCTTAACTGTTATGTGCTCTAAATGTCGTCTATGCTTTATTTGCTATTTGTTAATCATTGTTTCTCCTGTTAAAAATGTTAGACCTTTCCATGCTTTCATGAATCGCTGTTATTGCCTTAATTGACTTACTTGCACCTTTTAATTGTCATTTACCAGACTTGTCTTGCCGTGAAATATTACATATGTGAGTCCTCAATTTGGTATGAGGCTTCCTTTCTAATTCAGCTTCATATTCGTCCATCATAGAGGTTCTTGTGATTTAAGTTATTGATTTGATTGTACTCAGTGAATATTTGATACTGATATGGTGAGATCGGGTTGCGCGTTGTAACAAGTGAAATAAGGGTGGATTGATAGGTGGAATAAGGGTGATGTTGTACTGATATGGTGGGATCGGGTTACACGCTGCAACATGTGAAATAAGGGTGGATTGATACGGTGAAATAAGGGTGAATTATGATATTGATTTTGTTATATGGTGGGATCGGGTTGCGCGCCGAAACATATATTTATTTATGATTCTTGATACTATTACGGTAAAATAAGGGAGGATTGTGTTGTACGATGGGATCGGGTTGCGCGCCGCAACAACCTATGTGTTTCTATTTCCCTGTACTGTGTTGGTTTTCGGTATTTTACAGACGAAACTCTAAGGATTGTAATTTTGATTGTTACTGGTTTTTCTTCGAGGATTTGGCTATTATCTTCAGTTAACTGCCTTATTTCGTTTTGTATTTCCTTTCCTGTCTTTACTTTATACTGTGTACAGGTTATAGTGTAAATGACCCGCCTTAGCCTCGCCACTACTTCGTCAAGGTTAGGCTCGACACTTACAGAGTACATGGGGTCGGTTGTACTCATGCTATACTCTGCACTTCTTGTGCAGATTTTGGAGTTGGTCCCAGCGGCGGTTATTAGCGTGCTCGAGTTGGCTAGCTTGCGGAGACTTGAGGTCGAGCTGCTCAGCGTCTGCAGCTCCTACAGTCCCCTTTCCCTTTTATTAGCTGTGTATTTTCCCTCACACAACTTCATGTTTTATTCAGACCCTTATTTGTACTATTCTAGTAGTTCATGTACTTGTGACACTAGGTCCAGAGTTATATTAAATATTATAGTTGTTATGGCTTCCGCATTTTCACTTTAGATTATTACAGTTATTTCAGTTCTTTCTGTTATTTAATTCGAACTGTTAAAAATGGATAAATTATTCTAATGTTGGCTTACCTAGCAAGTGAAATGTTAGACGTCATCACGGTCCCGGCGGTGGGAATTCTGGATCGTGACAATATTTTTATTTAAAGGTAACAATATCCTGTATATTTATGATCAAAATATCTTGTTGATGTTGTATAGATCTTCACTTTTAGATATTTGTTTCTTTGATACATATTGTAGGATAGACAAATGTGTTAGTCTTAGTTTAAACTCCATAAAATTTAATTTCTAAAAATTAAATCGGAATGATCTTTGAAACATAAAAAAGAGAGCACAAAGTAATGTTTTGAAAAAAAAACTGACCAAAATATTCTATACACAACCAAAAAATATATTTAAAAGACCTAAAAACCTAACCAAAAAATTGTTCTTTAAAAATAAATTTACAAAGAAGACCAAGGAGACACCTTTGTTGATTGTAACGACCCGTTCGGTCGTTTTGAGTATAGTAGCCCCGATCCCCTATTTATTGCCTCCTCTGTGTTATATTGTAGTTACGTGGGGTGCTTTATTTTGATTTCGGGTGAGTTTCGGAGTGAAATGGGGCACATAGTCCCTAAGTTGGAAGGTTAAATCGTAGGAGTTGACTGTAGTTTGACTTGTGTGAAGACGATTCTGAAATGGAGTTTTGACGGTTTCGATAGCTCCATATGGTGATGTTGGAGCGTGTCTGGAACGTTTCGGCGTGAATTGGCGAAAGTTGGAGGATTTTGAAAAGTTTGACCAGGAGTTGACTTTATTGATATCGGGGTCAGATCCCGATTCCGGAAGTTGAAATAGGTCCGTAATGTCATTTATGACTTGTGTGAAAAATTTGGTGTCAATCGGAGTTGTTTTGGTATGAATCGGCATTAGTTTTGGAAATTCGAATGTTCATAAGTTCTTAGACTTGAATCAATGCGCGATTCGTGATTCTAGTATTGTTTGATGTGATTTGATGCTCCGAACGTGTTCGTATAATATTTTAAGACTTGTTGGTTTGCTTGGTTGAGGTCCCGGGGTCAGGTGGAATTCAGACTATATTCGACGCTTTTTGCATCATTGAAGAATAACTGAAGTGCTGGTTTTTCTCAATTCTGATTTTCTTCTATGCATTCGTGAAGATATTCAAATGAAAAAAATAATTAATAAATTTGTGTACTATTATTTCATTTAAAATACTCTCAAACAGGTTTTTCAATATTTCACCGTTATTTCAAATATTGAGGATTCGATATTTGCAAGTATTGGTAGCCAAACTTCAACTTGCAAATAGGGACAAATTTAGTGAAGAAGCTATTAGTTCATGTGTATCGTTACTTTTGGCTTAAAACATGTATATTTATGTGTTAAAATTCACTAAACAGGTAAAAGAAAAAAGAATTAAACCCAAGAAGTTAGACGAAACGTGGCAGAATTCCAAATTAAAGTTCAATTCTGTTATGATTGCAAATAATGGCTTCAGTATTTGCAAGTGAAGTTATGGCCAAATATCCGTTCATGATTCGTTCTTTGAACATCTATAACGTAGATTGACCATGACTCGTTCGTTGGACTTGGGCTGTACAAAATATTTTCCGAAAGAATAAGTCATTTTCATGTTAATTTTTTTTCTAAATATATGTTTGGTTGGTGAGCAAAGAATTTTCTGTTGAAAAATATTTATTAAATATTGACAATAATGTTAGCAAATTGGATATCGTTTTCGTGAAACTTTGAGTATTAAAGATTTATACTGTAATATAATTTATAGTGCAGGCATGTACTGTAATATAATTTAGGAGTTGAGACAGTTATAAACAAAAAAGAAAAAACCTTTTTGTTAAGAATAAATTTTATGATACTATATAATATTTCCTTTTCTTGTAAATTATAGGATCTATATTAATGTTAAAATATTATGGTTTCTTTTAATTTATTTAGAAATATTCTAGATTATTTACTTGCATTCAAGTCTAGTATATATCTACATTAATTGTAGAATACAGTATTTTAGGAGAATATCGATTTTGGGTAATTGGTCAAAGTGGGCAACACAACGTGGAAGACTTTGAAAATATCAACCCATTTGCTCATATGCAACAGTAATTCTTTTAACGTAAGATACACGCACCAAAACGCACAAATCTAAGTGCTTAAATATTAGTAGTTGCTTATATTGCGGCGAAACTCGAAAACAATAGACGGAACAAATAAAGTACGAAACCATCTCCATCACATTAGAATAGATCCAATTTTTCATTCTCAAAACAATAGAACTGCCAATAGATCTCTGATCCAGAAGCAACATTTGCAGTCAAAAATTCACTTTCAAAGAGATCTTATATAAGTACAATTCCATCCATTGACATGGCCAGTCACCCCTGGTACATTAAGAAAAATTCTTATACTCACAAATTACTATACTGCTGCAATATATAGTCAAAGATATTTTCTAGGTTGTTCAATTATGGGTACTGTTTTATGGAATAGTCTTCTTTCTCTTGTTGTACTTTTTCTAGTTCTGTTTCTGTTTTGTAGCTCAGGAGCAGATCCGGTAGTTACTGTAGATGTTCATGCAGCTCGTCATTTCCTCCGCTCTGGCCACCGCTATCTTGACGTTAGGTAAAAAAAATTGGCACAAATTTAGTTTCCTTTTTATTCAATGTGCAATTTAATTTGTTTTCATACTCAGATTTCAGATTTGGGTTTCATGCAATTTGAACAGGACAGAAGAAGAATTCAAGAAAGGACATGTAGAAAACTCTTTGAATATTCCCTATATGTTTAATACTCCCCAAGGTCTCTCTTATTTGATTCTTTCAGTTATTATTTGACATGGGTCTTAGTTTCTTTTAGTCTCGGTCAACTCATTAATGCCCTGTATTGATAATGATGTTTCGATTTTTGGTAATTTTAGGTAGAGTGAAGAATCCAAATTTTTTGGAGCAAGTATCTGCCGCTTGCGGCAAGGAAGAAAAGCTAGTTGTGGTAAATCCACTGAATTTTGTATTTTCTAACCTTTCTAATTGATCAACAACGTGCCCATTTAGACTTTATTTTTTCTTGGAATTTGATAAAAGGTATTGTTAGTTAGTATTTGAAAGATAGAATACTCTGTAATTTGATGGGGGTAAGCTTTTTGTCGTGTAGGGATGTCAAAGTGGTGTGAGGTCGCTGCACGCAACTACTGATCTTCTTATTGCTGTAAGTTGAATTCTCTCTCTCTCTTTAGAATGTGCTATATATATATATATATATATATNTTAAATTGATCGGGCTTGCCTAGCAGTGTGTTGGGCGCCATCACGACCGGGATTGGGGTCGTGACAATATATATATATATATATATATATATATATACTAGTTTCTCGTCACGTGCGTTGCACGTGTATGTTAAGTCATGTAATAGACCATTTTATAAAATAGATATGAATACAGTCAAACGTTTCTATAACAGTCTCGTTTGTTCCGGATATTTTTGGATGTTATAGCGAATTGATGTTATAGAAAACATATATTATAATAGAATATGAGATTTGGTTTTGAAAAAATTTGATTTTTATAGAGAAGTGTTGTTATATAATGATGCTGTTATAAATATGTCAAAATTTAAAGTAAAATATTTCTCACAGAACTCTTCATCAAAATATATTTTTTCCGTACGAAACTTACCCAAGTTAGCAAGATTGAACATTTTAAAATTGAGAATATTAAAATTCTGTGAAAAAGTAGTCAAGGACTTATATCTAATAAATCAAAAGTATTAAGCAGCATTTAAACCAAAAAAACAAAAGTATTAAGCAGCTTCACACACATAAAAAATATTTAACTTATCAAAGTGTAAGAGTGCACAATCATCTTTTGAAAGGTGCATGGATCAATAGAGTTAGAACATTCCTTCTAAGTTATGGTAAAAATATACGACTGGCACCATAGGCCAATACTCTTATTTTTTTCCCTATATATTTATCCAGTAATATAATGAGCAGATTATTCGCTAGAGGTATTCTTTTCAAAAAAAATTGGGTGATAATTAGCGTAGACTTTAATCACGAAGTGAAGGCTTTAAACAAAGAATCATTGTTAATGTATAATTAGCATAGAAACTACAATATATGCTACATGAAAACTTTAGTGCCTCCAAAAAATTCGCAAAATAAAAAGTTCGTTTGTAATTTTCATTAACCTTTCATGCACTATCTAGTTCTTCAAAATAATATCAGACATTAAGTTTAGTATGAACTTTTAATTCTAAGCCAAGCACATCCACACTTTAAACATTCAAGTGCTATTTTCATGTGTAACATCTATCTTAACAGTTGTAGAAATAAGATTTTAGTCACCACCTTGAAGTTGACCTCTTCCGGCGGAACTTTTTGATGCCAAAACGCATTACATTGTGCTCGGCTGCCAGGAAGTTTTATGTCTACCTCACCAAATGGTTGCAAAAGGCTTGCTTCTCACTCGGCATTTTTTTGAAAAATTTGCAAAAAGTCGTACAATAAATTGCGAGAGATGAACAAAAATCCATGGTAGTGGACCAGTAATTCTAAGTTTGGAGTATGGTTGGTGTCTCTGTTTCCATTCATGTACTGCCAAGTATTAACTGTTATCTCTTTGCAAATCATCTCAATATTCCCACATATTAGTTTGGGTCACAATATAAAATCTATAGTAAAAGTGAGGATCTGTGGTACTCCATTAAGTTGAGAGAAAATATTGGCATGGTGCTTCTTCGGTTGGGTGCAATTTTTCCTTACAGTATAATAGAAACAAAAAAAACTCTTTCTTATATTAACAAACTAATTAGAATGGATGGTAATCAAAGGTCACAATTTCAACTGCAGCGCGAAAGTTTGAGTACCACAGGCCGCATGATCATTGCTTCCAATTTGAGCCTTCCTCACCCCCAGTAATCTATTGATATTCTTTGATTTCTTCCTTTATTGGTTTAAAATTTTCCTCTAGATGCTCTGCTCTCGATTGGTCAAAGGATAATAGAATATATGGTTTAACTGAGTATTGAAAAATCAATCTGCATACTATGGCACAATAATATCATTCCATATTATGCTGGACATCAACCTACAATAATGTTCCCCCTTTTCAATTTGGTGTTAGTATGCTATGCCAAATTCACGCTGCAGAGTTTCTAATTGACTATTGATTGAAAGATAAATTGAATCATGAAGGAAACGTAAAATAGAAATTGAAGAGGAACCAGATTTATGGTAATTACGTGAATTTCCTAAGCAGACCACTTTAAAGTTGGCAAGATTTCCTTTCTGAACTTACCCGTTAAGAGAGGTTGCTAGGGGATTTAACTGATGGAAGGGAGTTGGGTACATGGGAACTCGTTGTTAAGTTCCCCACCAATTGCTTTTAGTCATCCACATGAAATTATATGCATAATGCTTTCTTAGTTGTGCTTCTTTAACACTTTGGACGCCGTTTTTCTAAAATTTGCATGGTTCTCTTTTAGATGTTACGAAGCAGAGATGTATTGTTCAAAACAAAAGGCTGCCTCCGGTTCGTTAATTCGTGTAGCGTCTTTTCGTTTGGGATGTTGCCAACGTAGTTTTTCTTTTTCTTTTGTCCAATTAGGGTATTTTAATTTTAGAAGGGCATTTATGTAATTTAACTTTTTTTTTAGTTTAGAGGTATATATATATTTTATCGGCTATTATTATTGGGAGCGGCTAAAATATACTCATATTCTCCTATTTTAATTGGGTAATTATTTATTAGACTGAAAATAAAAAATAAAAAATAAATAACATTAAATAAGAGAAAATACTACCGAAAAATTTATTTTTCGACCACTATAATTTTTGTGTGAGGTAGTGAAACATTTTGTGATTTTTGTGTGAGAAAACAAAGTTCGATGACTTGAGTGAAAAAACAAGTCATAGTTATGTGATTTTTGTGTGAAAAAATAAAGTTACATGACTTTGGTGAAAAAAATTATAGTTATATGACCATTTATGAAATTTATTCGAGTTTACCAGCATATTTACTTTCCGGAAAAGAATCCAGATTTGTTAAATGATTTAACTTATTTACAATGAGATCTATAATTTTAACGGGTTGTACAGTAGCAGGTTAATTACACTTTTTTTAGGCTACAATTCTAGGCTTACTAGATTGTTACATGGTTCCTAATACTGATAATATATTCAAATTAAGGGTAAAATTTAAAAATAGCCAGATTTACAACTGGTCGTTTAAAAATAGCCTAATTTCAAAAGTAATCGAAATTTAGCCATTTTTTATATAAAGATAAATTTGAGCGAAAACACTGTTCAAAACCCGGAAAATACTCCAGTATATTATGCTGGAGTTCCAGCATAAGTATACTTGAACACCAGTATATTATACTGGAGTTCTAGAATAAGTATGCTGGAACTCCAGCATAATATGATGGAGTTCCAGCATAAGTACACTAGAACTCCAACATAATATACTGGAGTTCCAGCAAGTATATTGGTCCAGTATAATATACTAGAGTTTGGAGCACCGGTGCTCCAGTCTCCAGTATATTATACCGGAGCCAGCAAAGTATACCGGTCCAGCATAATATGCTGGAGTTCATACACAAGTGCACCGAACTCCAGTATATTATGCTGGATTGGTCTCTATTGCAGCAAAATAGTGGCGATTTTTCATTGACTTGGTAAACGCTGGCTATTTTTGATTGACCAGTCCGAAAACTGGCTATACCGTGCTATTTTTACTCAAATTAACACTAATGATGAACTTGGCAGGAATTCAAGCATGTAAGCAACATGGGAGGGGGATATCAGGCTTGGGTGGAGAGTGGGTTTGCTGTAAACAAACCACAAGATGAGCTTTGAATCACTCAATCTTCTCTTGTTGCAGCAGTTAGTGCTAGCTATCAAGAGAAATAATCACTTTCTTAACCACGAAAGAATATAAGTATTTCATTGAAATCACAAGTATATTCTCTGTATTTGACGCTCAGTTTAAAACAAAAATATTGCAATAAAGTATATGATTTTGACATCTGCATTTTTTTTAGTTGCCGTGCCTTTACTGTACTCTAAGTATTTTAGTCGAGACAGAAATTGCAAATAGATGAGAAACCAATTGAAACAGAAGAAATAAAGCTTACTATTTAATGATTTAAAAATAGGAGGTAAGCTGCTGGACGGCTAGGGAGGAGGTCGTTGGATGTTTGTTAATGGCAGCTGGCGAAGAGAACTAGTCAATATACTTTATTCTAAAGAAATTAAACTTTCGCCCCCAAGCTTTTTTCTTAGCCAAAAGTGCTTTTTTTGTCAAAAGTACTTTTTTCTTCAAAGTTAAGTGTTTGGCCAATCTTTTTAAAGGAAAAAACAGTGCTTTTGATTAGAAGTAGTAACAGTTTTTGAGAAGTAGAAAAAAGCAGCTTCTTTCTATGAGAAAAATACACTTATAAGCACCTTTTAACAGCTTGGCCAAACACTAATTGTTGCTCAAAAGTACTTCTCACCTAAAGTAATTTCTCAAAATAAGCAGATTTTCCGGCTTGGCTAAACAGGTTGTTAATCAGCTTGTGCATTTCTATATTTATTGGGGGAACCTATTTATCGGATACCAGTTACCTTTCACTATCATTGTTACTGAATAACTCCTTTCACTAACACTATTAATTTTGTCAATCAAAACTTGGGTAAATAAAAAAAATCTAACTACAGTATTTTTTATTTCAGCTAGGATCGAGCCAAAGCTTTACAATATAACGTAACTTCCACAACTGACATAAACATTATGGCGACAGAACCAGCAAGAAGCCCCAATAAATAGGCCCGAGGAGCATGTGGAAAATTCAGATAGCATGTCACAATTCCTAAAAATGACAGAGGCAAAGATAGACAAATTGACTGACATACATTTTTTTTAATAACAAGAACAATGTCAGAACTTTTTTTTTTTGTTCAATTACAGATGAAATTGTACCTCTTACAGAAAATTGAGCTCTAAATAAGATACTTAATGCTACGATTAGTTGTGCATTCTGTTTTAGTATAGATTTCTATATTTCCGTTCACAAATAGGCTGATCTAAGACTTCAATTCTATAATTTCAAGGCTTTAGCAGTTAAAGCTGTTACACCTTAAAAAGACTGATAGCAGTTAAAGGTTGATTATTGATATGATGCATTGTGTTACTCCAGTTTCGGAAGAACATAGAAACCAACCTCTCCAACTGTATTGGGAAAAAACTGAATTTAAATATTGAAGATGACGTGTCATGACACGTGGACCGGTCAAATAGTCAAAGCGTGGTAATCAGTTAGAAGGCACGAGCAACAACAGATGGAGGAGAGAAGATACTTAAAGGCACGAGCTATTATTCAAATGAAAGGAGACTCGTACCTGTTCGAGTCATTTAAAGCTCGAAGATCAGAAGGAATTGAAGACATGAATATGATAGCGAAAAAGAGTCCAAATTCAGCATTAAATGCCAAATACGTTAGAGAATTTGTATTTAATAGGAATGATTGAGTAACGTTTCTTTTAATGTCATTTATTGCTCGTAATTGCCTCATTAAGACAAAGGCATTACACTTTCTCTTAGAATTAACTATAAAAGGAGAAAGTCACAACATCTGTAGGGGACGAAAAAACATTACTGGAATAAACTTTGTTCTTTTTGCTTTCTGATTATATTATTCAAAATCTCTTTCTTATATACTTTTCCGATTATCAGTAACCCGGGTTCTTCTAAATTCAAGCTTTGACCTAAAATCTAATTTTTGGTTAAACACCAACAATACGACAAGTCTTTAGTCAAGAGAGAGATTACGTCCAAAAAAGCACAAAGTTTACGGTCCAAACATAAGACTCGGTAAAAGTAACCACAAGGCACAAGTGCATTAACAAAGTGGTGAAAATCTTTGCATACCAAGGATTAAATTTCAATAGCTAGAACGTAGATTTTTTAAACCTACCTAATATTAAAAATAGCACGGGCTAGCCAATTTTTGGACTGGTCATTCAAAAATAGCCAGCATTTGCAAAGTCATTGAAAAATAGTCACTATTTTGCTGCAACAGGGATCGATCCAGCATAATATACTAGAGATTGAAGCACCTGTGTATGAACTTCTTGCATAGTATACTGGACCGGTATATTATGCTGGAGTTCCAGTATACTTATGCTGGAACAGTATGCTGGAACTCCATTATAATATGCTGGAGTTCCAGTATACTTATGCTGGAACTCCATTATAATATACTGGAGTTCTAGTATACTTATGCTGGAACTCTAGTATATTATGCTTGACTATTTTCCGGATTTTGAACAGTGTTTTCGTTCAGATTTATCTTTACATGAAAAGTGGCTAAATTTCGATTACTTTTAAAATTATGGCTATTTTTGAATAACCGCTTGTAAATCAGGCTATTTTAAATTTCTCCCTACCTAGTAGCCTGTTTGGACAAGCTTCTTACAAGGCAAAAAGTGCTTTTGTTTTTTTGGGTGAAAGGTACTTATTTCTAAAATTAAGGCGTTTGGCTAAGCTTTTGGAAGAAAAAAAAAGTTTTTTTAAGGAGAAAACTTAAGCAGTTTTTGAGAAGTAGAAAAAAGTAGTTTCTTTCCAAAATCTCTTTTTTGAAAAGCACCTTTGAGAAAAATATACTTAAAAGCACTTTTAAAATATTGGTCAAACACTAATTGCTAATCAAAAATTCTTTTCAAACTAAATAGCCAAACACAAACTGTTTCTCACCGAAAGTATTTAATTTTGAAGACTTGTCAAAATAAGTTGATTTTAAAAGCTTGGCCAAATAGGCTACAAACGTAACTTGATATGTGACACATTATTTTTTCTTTTTAAAAAAACAAGAGGAAGAAACAGCAACTAGGACAACATAGGTGGGTGAGCATTTAGAGCAGAACAAGGATGCGTGAGATTGCCAGTTGGTTGTACAGCATACTGACAAAAGATTTGCATCAGGCATTTCCACATGGGACCTTTATGCTTTCCTAGTTCCTAACACCCCATGCTCTAAGTTAATGAAGTTGTCAACCAAAATCAGCTGATCGACCAATTAATGGCAGTCTTTGCTCATTGCTGAAGCCTCTGCACTTGAAAAAAGTTCCATCTTTGTGCATTAGATCTTCTTCTGTTTCAAGAAGAAGGTGATGGAACTGTGATAATCCACCCATAGATGTGATTAAGGTTGATGCGGTATTTTTTATAGTGGATTTTAAGGTAGTTGAACATTAGTCAAGATGGAGAAATTGGAAGAAGCATCGTTTGCTGAAACGCCCACATGGGCTGTGGCGACAGTCGTCACAGTTTTGGTGAGCGTTGGTTTCTTGATCCATGGCAGTTTGAAAAAGTTTGGGAAGGTAAAAGAAAAAAACACTTTCTATTTTTCTATTTTCAAGCTCTGCAAAATCTTTCGTGGGGGTGGATTATATATTGGAGTCTATGCATTTGTTCATTTCTTAGTGAATTCTCTAAACTTGTCTTTTGTTCCTATAGTGGTTGCACGGGACGAAGAGGAAACCTCTTTATGCTGCACTAGAGAAAATCAAGGAAGGTAGCCACCTATTATCTGTTTATTGAGCCTTTCATGATCACTGGCAGTGGCAGATGTAGAATGTTTCAGCGGGTTTGGTAGAACCAAGATTTTTTACTCGAACCTTATAGGAGTAGATATGTGTGAAAAATAAGTAGAGTAAAATAGATGTTTCAGAACGTACACTTTCATGTCAGAGCTCAAGTTGTCTAAATTCTAAATCAATGGTTTTGATTCTTCTGAAAGCTGCTAGCTTGTTTTAGTGTAAAGTATATTACAGCAAGTAATTTTATTTCCCTTTTAAGGTTGCTTGATGAACTCTTCTGTTTTCATTTTCCTCTTCCTCTTCCTTCTTTTTTGGCTGCAATCAGAGCTTATGGTTTTTGGACTTCTATCACTATTGATGGGTCATTGGATCATTTATATTGCAAAGATCTGTGTCAAATCATCAGCCTTGAGCAGCCACTTCTATCCATGTTCTCCGCCAAGAAACAAGAGGGAGTCAGCAATTACGAAATTTGTTTTATCAGGTTCTTCATACTTGAATTCAACTTCAAGTTCAAGGCTGCTGTTAAGTGGCAGGAATGAAGATTTTTGTCCTGAGGTAGCCATGCAAGAATGTTCTACTCAATTCGAAAATTTCCATTCTGTTCACTTTTACTTTAAACATTGTTTGATCCGAATAACTATGAGTAAATTTTGGTCTATCCTTCATGAGCTATCATCTACAGGGATAGTCTGTAAACTACTTTGGTATCCCTATTCTATTGTTGAAAGCTAACATTTGCCACGTTAGATTGGAAAGCAACAACCTTATAGCCAAGTAAATTCCTGAATGTGGCACAATTAATATTGATATGTTTTCTTCCATTGAAAATCCATGATTTTACTATTTCTAGTATTCATAGGTTAGTAAATTGGAGGAGTTAAGAAGCCCAAACTTATGGAAATCAAAGTTTAAGGTGTGTCGAACTTGACAATAGGACTGTTTTTAACAAAGATTCCTCAGGGTTCTGTACCTCCTACAACAAGTGAAGCTTGTCTTGATGATGGAATTAGGAAGTTCTCTCACATGTTGCATTACTTCATTTTGCAAGTTTCAAATTGTTGAGTTGTTGTCTTTAATTAAGTGGCCAGTGCTAATACTGGCTCCACATGAGCAGAGAACACTCATGTTAGTTTTACCAGGGTCTCCAATCGTTTGCTTCAAAGGAGAGCCTGGAGCAGCTCCATCGTTTTTTGCTTGTCCTCGGTGTTAGCCATGTGTCTTATAGCTTTTTAGCTATCGCCCTGGCAATGATCAAGGTTGGATGATCTTCTTCCTGATTAACCTCTGATGACATTTTAGAACTTTCTTCCGACATCCATCAAACGCCATGAGTTAACCATGCAGATATACAGCTGGAGAACATGGGAAAACTATGCCAAGTCAATGGCTCTTCAAAGACTGGAAGGTGCAAATATTTCCAGCAGTAGTACTATTCTTCATACTTTCTTTATCATTTCCAGAATAATTACTTGCATGTTTAACCTTAGGTTCTGAAGAATCTGTCCCAAACAATAAGAGAATGGGGCGTATATCAACTTTTACTTTTCACCACACTGCCCACCCATGGAGTCAGCACAGGGCTCTAGTTTGGCTGGTATTTTCACATAAAATCTTGTATTTCTGGTTGAGTGGATACTTGTTATGTGGTGTTCTTATGCTATCTCAACTTAAGGGGAACAGTATTAGCCCAAGTCATGTAGATGTAGTCATCAACACAACGCGTCCTGAATCTATGTGAAAGCTAAGACATCTGTGTACATTGTTTTGGGCAATGGAGTGGCACGGAAAAGACTTAAATACATACCGTAAGATGATAAAACTCTAAAATGTAATAGAGAATAACAAATTCAATTGGCTTTTGCAGCTAAAACTATGATTTAGAGTGATCTACAATGCCATTTGGTTTATTCAGTGACTACTCAAACTGCCATTGGTCACACAGGAGTCATAAATCTTAATGATTAGCTGCATCATTTGTTGTGAGCTTTAATTCATGTATTCGGATTGAATTATTGTAAACAGTTGCGTCTTAAACTTCATGTAGTTCTGATAAATTGTTCACCTTCATACTTTAATCTTCTCTATCTCTTGGCATGTCCTGTGATGAGTTCAAGCAATTAAAGATATTTTATTCAAAGTTCTCCTTTTAGCTTTGTTTCAGCCGCCAGTTCTGGAGTTCTATAAATGAAGCTGACTACATGGCTTTGCGCTTGGGTTTTATTACTGTAAGTCATGTATTGTTTTTCTCCACTAATGAAATATTTTACTCAATAATCATTGAGGTGGAATGTGAAGACTGACTTTGTAAAGCAGACATCATGCTGGTCTATTTAATGTTATAATTTACACAGTAATTTGTTTATTAAATCAGTTCCTTATCCATATTTGGGTTTTGGTTATTTTATGAAAGTTTTTTTCTAACTAATAACCACTTAATACAATATTCACTTACATAGATGACACGAATCAGTTCATAATAAAAACCAGGCTCCGTGTAGTTCATGGATTAAGTTGTTGTCAATGCCTTGCTAAGGGAACAGCTATGATGAGTAGGTCAGATTAATTGATGATAGAAGCACGTACTAACCATGAAGCAGATGGTCCACTTTCTAGAATTACATTGTGACTTTTCCAGTATTGGTCTAACCTTCCAAACAAATTTGGTGTGGGCGCTTGGATGGAAACATGAACCACGACTAGCGCCTCTCTATATTCCTGGAACGGAGCAGCAATTCCGTATCTTCATGTTGTTTTTTGTTTTTGCAGACTCATCAGCTGCCATTAACTTATGATTTCCATAAGTATATGCTTCGAAGCATGGAGGAAGAATTTCGTGATATTGTTGGTATTAGGTACAATGGCATATCAGTTTGAAGGTTATTTTTTCCTGTTGAGCATAACTTTTGCGTCATAATAAATTATTTGCTACTCCATCTCCGTCTTCGCCATTATGAATTATACTATAAGATGGCAGACCATTAATAACTTCATATAGAATTTCTGCAGTCATACAGATATATGTTCAAGTTTTATTATCGGCATTCCATGTTACCCCTCAATAGCTATGGTGATCATGTTTGGACGCTGGTAAAGACATTAAGATTGACTGCTTAATTAGCTTGTTTTAGCTTCTCCAGTTTTATGATCTAGACCTCTCTCGTATCACTAATAAAGAACACAAGTTTCAGACTGAGTATTACCATGTGCTAGTTCTTTGCCTTGCGTCTGATTCACCAGAATCTTGCACCACGTACGGCCTTCTTCTTACCAGAACCTTACACTACATACTACCTTTTTTTTTAATAAAACTCTCGACATGTTACTATTAGAATTAGAGAAGCTTTCAAAAAGTGACAGAATTATTGAAATATACTCCCTCCGTTCCAATTTATGTGAACCTGTTTGACTGGGCACGAAGTTTAAGAAAGAATGAAGACTTTTGGAATTTGTGGTCCTAAACAAATCAAAAAGGGGCCCAGAGTATTTTTGTGGTTATAAAAGCTTCTCATTAAGGGTAGAATTGTAAGTTTAAGCTAAATTGTTACCAAATTTAGAAAGGGTTCATTCTTTTTTGACCGAACCAAAAAGGAAATAGGTTCACATAAATTGAAACAGAGGGAGTAGCTGTTAATTCAAAGGACGTCGCATCAATATTAAATTTTCAAAATTACAGCTCTTGTTTAGTTGTTTATACTAGCTTGAATTGTTGGAGGAGAGGCAAGTTTCTATTTAAGACAAAAAAAGGGAAGTAAGTCAAGTTTTCCTAAGGGGAGGGAGTATAAATGTTGCCTCTCCTTTTCTCTGCTTTATCTTCACCAAACAGAAACTCTTGCTTTAAATTTATATCTTGGCCTGCTTCCTCTTTCTTCAACTAAAATTAGTTATATTTTCAATCTTCTGGGATAAAAACAGCTACACCACTTGAACTATATCCTAATTACTTAACAAAGAACTTACGAGAAATTTATGTATCTCACTCTAATTTTGTCTGTACCTTGGTATATGTTCCTGGCTAATGACAATCAACACTTCACACTTTTCCTTTCTCTAGGCATGCTTGTTGTTGATGCCCAATTATGTTGTGACTATAGACAAAACCTGACATATATGTCCCTGTCTGAGGACTAAATGCAACATGTCACAAACTGAAATATATCATGGTTATGGCAAAGATCTAAGATTTTTCCTTTTTTTTCTTTTCTTTTATGCAGTATTCTACTAGGGATTTGTTCATCTAAAACATTCCTTTTTATTCTTCTTTGGTTGCAGTGTTCCACTGTGGATTTTCGTCATACTTTGTGTATTTTTAAGCTTTCACGGTAATTTTTCCACTTCAAATTTTCTTTTAGTTCTAACTACTGTGATGGGGAATGGGAGTTGAGGTACAGATTGAGCTCGCTCTACGAGCTACTTTACAACTTCAGACTTGCTTAGATTCAGTTCGTTTTGCTACTTCGGCATCACACCCTAATTGCTTAGCATTTGAAAGTAAAAATCCAGCAACAAAAAGGATATGAAAGTCATGGCAACTAGATTACTATGATTAACAAAAGACAATAAAGAGGATGTTGTAAAAGCACATTTATACTTTTATTGAATTATTTCCTGGTTGTATCCCTTCTTTAGAATAGTAGAAGAGGAACCAGGAAAGATTAATATGTAAATGAACCAAAAGGCCAAAATGTGTAGTAGGCTTCTCGTTGACCTTTTCTGAATCCTTTTCGTTCTATTATTCATTTAGTTCTTTCAGAAAGATGATGGATAATTTTGATGATTGTTGTCCAGGCACTAATATCTACTTCTGGATCTCCTTCTTTCCTGCTATTGTATGTCCTTGTTATTTTCTGTTCTCTTTTTGCTTCAGAAGCATAATAAATTCTCATTCAATTTCTGACCTTTTCGAAAATTGTTTTTGGAAGTTAATCCTTCTGGTTGGTACCAAGCTTCACCATGTGGTGGTTAAGCTGGCAGTTGAAATCATGGATAGTAGTCCACGGGAAGGATTTCATCAGTTTAACCTCAGAGACGAGCTCTTCTGGTTTGGGAAGCCCAGGCTTCTGCTGCGGATAATACAATTTATATCATTCCAGGTATGCAAAATAACATTAATGTTATCCTCAAATTCAAAGGGTTTAACAAGAGGAGCGCTAATATAATTAAATTTAGGTCAATGATATAGCTGCCTCATATATGACTTATTGATTGCTCTTCATATGCAGAACGCATTTGAGATGGCAACATACATTTGGTCACTGGTAAGAACTTGGGAACTTAGTTTTCTGATTGAGGTAGAGTTGATTACAATGAATTAAAACAATTTTGTCTTATTGTCAATGGGAAGAAGTAGAGTTGAGCTTTTGGTCAGACAATATGACACAGAGCAAAGCAGAGGCTTTCATATGTAGTTTTTGTCTGTTTTATATTTTCACCTAATCCTTAGAAAAGGCAAAAGCGGTAATTTTCTTATGCAGTGATACAAAATTCTCTCCTTTTCTGGTGCAGTGGGAAATTAAGGGATCATCGTGTTTCACAAAAAATCAAACCTTTCTCGTGATTCGCTTGTCATTTGGGTACCTATCTTTGTCTCACTTCCTTGTTAACTTGTTGCTGAATACACTCATTGTGGCATGGCCCGTGTTAACTTGTCGCTGCAGGGTTATTTCTCAATTCTGGTGTAGCTTTGTCACATTTCCACTCTATGTTATTGTTGCTCAGGTAACTAAAAAACACTATGCATTAATCTCTTTCTTTTGTCCTTGGTTATATATCCTTCTGCACTATTCCTTGAGTCACCGATGATCGAGCAGATGGGTTCCAGATACAAGAAGACCATTGTTTCAGAGAATGTTAGGAAGTCGCTACATGGATGGCGACACAAGGTGAAAACCAGACTCGAAGGTTCAGTTGTTAATCAAGAAAGATTATTAGCGACCACAGCATTGGACTCTGTGGAGGATGAGACAGATCAAATTCATGGCATTGCTACCAACAGCACAGCGGGATGCTCCCCATTGTTCGAAAATACTATGGTCTCAGATCAACAAATCGCTTTTGAGCAAAATTGCACGAATGAAATCTCAGAATGTGATGATGAGTTACATGTTCCATTTTCTCCTCGACATTGAGGAGAGGTTTGGTGAAAAATATGATGATGGATCAAACAATGACAATATAATTTCGTGCCTTCTACTACTGGAATCACAACCTTATATATATATATATATATATATATATATATATATATATTACTTAGAACATGTTATCAAATTTTGTTACAGAATGCAATGACCTTAAAGTGATTATTAAAGTGATTTCTATATGGCAATTGGAAAATGACATCCTATTGGTACTTTATCATGATGAACAAAATAATTTTTTTTACATCAATGAGTAATTTTTTAGAAGAATCACTTAGTATTTGCAACAAAGTATATTAATTTATAATAATTACGTGGTAAATAATGTGAAACTAAAACTAAAAACTACGAAATATATAGGAAACTAACGTTTCACTTAATTTTCTCTTCTCAATCAATCCAGAATATTGTAAAAGTACGAAACTTCAACGCAAAATCGGTCGACCTTTCTATCGTATAAAATAAATTTTACATTGGACGAATTAATGTTTAATTAATATTTTTAATATTTAGCTATTGTCATAGAGCTTGTGATTTGTATTACGTCAGGTTTTGGGCTATTGTATACACCTTGAGCTGTAGAGAATTTCCTTTTATATATGTTGTTGAGTTTTGATATTTTTAAATTATTATTTCATTTACTTCCGCATGTTTGTTAAGCTTACCTAGTCTTAGAGACTAGGTGCGGTCACAAACGTCACGATGCAACGTATAATGTTTTATTATTATGAGATGGAGAAATTTAGTGGATAAAATTTTAGTGTATGAAAATAGATCTTCCTTGGTATTGTAAAGCTTATGAAAGACGACAAAAATCATATTTTATTCAAAATTTTCTCTTTGATTATCACACTATTAAGTTAAGTCTACTTATGAAAACATGTAATTTTTATAATAAGCATTCTAAATACAATAACATCAACAATAAAGTAATAATAAGTTGTATTAACTGGTTAACTTATATTACTAACAATACAATAAATTATTATATTGTTAGTACGAACAAGCTCGACAACTACATACACTCATTTGAGCTTCACATTGACCCTTAACATAAGCTGCACGGTCATGATATTTGTTACAGTGAACCTGACAATTATCGTCACTTGTACAGGATCCCCAATCTTCGTGAACAAAAAGCCAACATTGTCCAGCTGTCAACTCTGCATGAGTTAAAATATTTAAATTAAGAGTTGATGATCATTGACAAAAACGATTAAAATCAAACAAAATGAAGATTCTTTTGTTTACTTCATATTTTTCAATTTATTAACAAATGTATTTTGCTTGATGAATTCAAGAAGTTACAAGAAAACCACTAACACCTCTAAATACTTTTAAAAAAAAATTGTTTTAAACAATCCATTGGATAATGAATTTTAATGAATGATCATAATCATTAAAAATGTTTACAGGCATGATTATTTTCATTGATTAGAAAAATAAATGAGCTTTGATATTATAAATTTAGTACTAACTTTTGCTAATTAAATTAGAAGAAAATACCCACCTAGTGATGCAAAGGCGAAGACCATGAAAGTCATAAGGACAAAGATTTGTGATGTTGTCATTTTTGCTTCACTCAAATGCATTAAAGTCACTATATGAATAAGGGGGATTAAAGAAGTATGTTTCTGAATATTTTTATAGCAACTGTTTCATGCGTTTTTCCCATGAACCCGTTACTTGCAAAATTAAATTCTAAGCATTAAATTCTTCTAATTAATCTTCAGTTTCTTTTTTATTTAATGTCACTCAAACAATAAAGAACTATGATGATAATAAATGAATTTTCACAAAGCACTATGGTTTAGAGTTTAATTATCATACGTAACTATAGTTTGCCTAATTATTATTTAGCGCAACAAATATAACCTGTATTCCGCAATGCGTACAACCAAGGCGAAATACAGAAATACAAAAAAATTAAGAAACAAAATGCTCACGATGAGAGTCAACCTCAACACCTCCCTCTTACTAAACAGGTGTTCTAACCAACTGAGTTACGAGAGCTTATAATATTAGCGTTCAGTTCAAAATAATTGATCACTTGTTTCAGTACTATAAGTAAATTTGCTATAGCATTCATATATCGCTACACATAGCAACTTCTTAAAAGTATAGCTATTAATAATATATAAGTTAGCTACACCATATAATTTTTCCATATAAAGAATGTGAAAGCAGTACTATTTTTCCTCCGAGTGTTTCGGTGTTGTGCCTTTGCAATATTTCCTTTCATTCAAAAGAGTATTTTATTCCATTTGGAAAGAAAACAAGGTTAAAAATATGAAAGAATTACTAGAAAATACACTTGATTTCACACCATAACAAAAAATGGCCCATATTTTTTAAGTTTACCCAGTATAGCCCAATTTGTATAGAATTTGAAGGAAAGATTTCAATCACTTAACTAGTTCTCTTTTTTTCTACACGCCCAAAATGCTCTCTCTCCATGTGCCTCTTCATTCTCTATACGCCATCATCTTCTATCCTCTATGTTTTTCCAGATCTATCTCCCATAGTCATCTTCTATCTTCTATAATTTTTAAATCTATCTTTCATCCTATCTTTTCTCATCTCTAATTTTCTGCTCTAATTTTCCGCCACTGACGAAGTTAATGTTTTCCAGATTTGGAAGTTAAAGTTTTCGGATCCGGAAGTTTTCATTGTGAATTGGTGATATCAAAAGGAGTTCAAAATTTAAATTTAAAGTGATTTGGAGTATATTTGAGCAAGATTTGAGTTAACTTTAAGAAAAAACATATGGAAGAAGACGAAGTTTCAGAAAAAACGCAAGGAAGAAGACGAAGTCAATATTTTTTATATTTATGTATAATATTGTATAATAGTGTATATGAGTGTATAAATACATCTTGTATACTAGTATAAACTTTTATACACCTCTATACAAGCCTTTGTAGACGAACCTCTTCCACGATTTTCAGTTGCAATTCTTGTTCAAAATCAGTCCAAATATCATTAAATGACTTCAAATTTTATACACAACCTCCTTATACTATTTCCAACAATTCTAGATAATACCCACTATAAATTTCTCACAAAATTAAATTCGGAATCTAAATCCACATATTTAAGCTTGTTAAAAATCTAATTTTCACCACCCAAATGGATTTGGTTTGTTGAACTAATATTTGAGTTACAATTACTTTCGAAAATTAACTTAAAAGCTTGAGGAATCGTTTTTAAAAATTAAATAGTAATTTGGAGAACCTATTGGAATTGGATATTGAATCTTAGCCTATTATTTTTGGGCTAATTGGTTGTAAATTGAAATATGGACTATAAAATTGAAAGATAGGGATCCCAGTTGTTCTAATGTGAAATTCTCCCTAAAAATATTTAACAACAACTTCTTTTAATTATATATATATATATATATATATATATATATATATATATATATATATATATATATATATATATATATATATATATA